GGGGGGGGGGGGGCGACAGTAGCCGATCCAGTCGGCAGCTGGACTCCATTTCCCAGCAGCCCCTGCCCACATTGCTGGGGCTGGTCTCCATGGTGACCCCGGCCCCAGCTGTGCTGTGAGAGTTCAAGGGTGGGGTTGCCATGGAGACAAGCCCCAGTTGCACTGGCAGGCATCAGGGCAGAGCAGGGCAGCTTGCTCTGGAGCCAAGGCAGGGTCTTGATCTGTAGCCTGCGTGCTCCAGGCAGCGGCGCACAGGCAGGGGATTGAGCTCTGCCCTTGCTGCAGGCCAGGCTGTCACCCCTGCAAGGAGCCGGGGCAGAGCCGCGATCCCCTGTCTGCAAACAGAACGTGATGAGCTGGGCTGAAGCTGACACACTAAGTCCTGTGTCCACAGCGGCATCCACATCACAGTTCAGCTGAAAACTGGGGAATGGTGAATGTCATGGCTAAGATTGCAATTAGTTGTAGCACAGAGTGATTGCAGAGAGGGCTGTGGGGGCTGGAGGCAGGGATACACTGATGGTGTAATGCTTGTTACTGCAGGTCCAGGAGGTGTTTGAGTACGTGGCCGTGTATTTCACGCGGAGGGAGTGGGAGCTGCTGGACGATGACGACAAGGTGCTTTACCAGGACCAGATGCTGAAGAATTTCAACACCCTCGTTTCCCTGGGTAAAGCTCTGGTTCTTGTTTCTCCTTGGAGCTATGTGAGCTCTGGAGTTTTGTAATTGTCTCCCTGTGTTTCAACAGTCTCATCCTCATGAACCTTTGGCTGGAGGTTTCTATCCACTTCGTCCCCACTGCTCTGTCAGTGATCAGGCTGGTTTCACATTTCAACCTGATATATCCACCTTCGTTTGATCCAGCCGCCTTCACTTGCATCTTCCCCATTCTTATAACTCCTGGTTCTTCCATATGCAGCAGTTTCTTGCCAGCGTGATTTCCCTTTGCCGTTTCAGTGTGTGCATATCATCTCCAGTTGCTGTTTCTTGGAGAATTATTCTGATTTCCTCCCTGCCTG